TGGCAGGTTTGAACTGCCAACCTTGCAGCTATTAGTCCAGTGCTTATCCTACAGTGCCACCAGCACACCTCTTAGGCTATTATAAAAATTAAATGAGGAGTATAAAAACATTTGTAGAATTTAAAGTTCTGTACAAAATACAGCCATTTAGCCAGGTTTAAGAATGGAACAGAAATTTTCTTAGAGGCCTTTGTGTGTCACATTATTACAAGAATATTTAATAAGTCTGCTTTTTAAAACAGTTGCTGACAATTGGGCATTACTTGGTAAAGACTCTGAGTAGTTCTAATGTAGAGATCTGTTTAACTTTCTTTATCCTTCACCCTATTTGAACATGGAACACACATTAATACCTGTGGAATACCTGTTCTTTCCTTACAAGGGAAAGTGGTCCTATGGTCTGGTATGAGAGCAGGACAAGGTGCAGTTTCAGTACACCTTTCCCATAAGACTCTCACAATAGAGACTCGCAGACAAAATACCAAGAAAGTAAAAAGAATAAAATATAGCCCATTCTGTCATCCATGGAAATACTCTTTACATTTTGCATATTTTCTTGAAAAAAAAACAAATATACATGTGTATATATGTTTAGACGATATTGACCAAGAATGCTAATTTACAAATTCTGAAGGAAAGATCCCTTTACAAAACTAAAGATTACATGGATGAAATAAACACTCTTATTAGGAATTGGTGATTCTCACTGGTTAAATGGGAGTCAGTAATTTCTGGATTCCTATGTAAAGAACAAGAATAAAAAAGTACGTTTCCACATTTATTCACAAGCACCCTTTCTTTAAAAGTCACAATTGCTCTTTTCACATGGTAGCAAAAGTTCACTTCATTATTTCAAATGGCTCTTTCCCAACATCACCTCCTGTGACTTAAAAATGAAAAACTGCCATTAATTTCCATTAATAAAAACTGAGAAATTAATGGACTAATAGCTGCAAGGTTGGCAATTCAAACCTGCCAGCTGCTCCATGGGAAAAACCTTAATTAAAATGAATATGTATCATTGTTTTTCAACAGTTACATTTGTAATAAATGTATAAATACATGCAACTCTTGCCCACAATGCTTCAAATAGCTACTACCTAACAAGCAAACACACTGAAGTTATTTCTAAAAATTTTATCTAAAAACATCTTTTAGAATTTAGCCCTCACTTAAAGTAACTGTGATTTTAAGAAATACAATGAATAGTTTCCAGCCTAGCTTTGCTGCCATTGTTAAGTGCTATTGAGTCATTTCCGACTCATAGCGACTGTGTATAGGGTTTCCGAGGAGTAGCTGGTGAGTTTGAACCGCTGACTTTTGTGCTTCAAATCAACCTTGAGGTTGAGTGCTGATTCTACTGCGCTACAGTGATCTCAGATAGAAGCATGTTAAAGTATAAATAATGACCTAGTTGCTTTGAACCAGTTGGTTCCCTGGTGTTTCTATAATATTCATGTACAAGACAGTAAAAAGAAGAGGCAGAGGGATGCTCCTCACTTAAAAAAATCACAGTGCTTTAATACAATCCTCTGATTTGTACCAATAAGCTGAAGAATCACATTTCATCAGTTTATTAACAAAAATGTATCTACCCCTAAAGTTCTATTCATATTTTCTACACTTAGAAAAGATGGATCGTTTCAGAATATATTTGAGTATTAAATTCCACAAGCTTTCTGATCCATTTTCAATTAGGCTAAATTTTTTTCTAAAATCATACAGAAAAAAATGAAGCTGACTATTGTTAGATGGCGGTAGTGCTGGTGGCACTGTAGGGTAAACAGTGGATTGGTAAGTACAAGGTCAGTACTCCAGACCTACCAGCCACTCCGCTGTCTGCTCCCATAAAGATTTACAGCCTCCGAAATCCTATGTTGTTGTTGTTAAATGCCATCGAGTCGATTCTGACCCACAGCAACCCTGTATAGAGTTTCCGAGGAGCAGCCGGTGAGCCTATACAGGGCTGCTATTTGTCTGAACTGACTTGACAGCACCTAACAACAACAACCAGTTCTTAGATAATGCTTCTCTCATGTCATCCCTTCAATCTCCAAGTATCTTTACCAAAATTCAAGAATGGTTAGTTGCTTGCTATCCTGCATAGGGTTTCCAAGGCTTTTGAAAAACTTTGCAGTAGCTGTAAACCTCATCTTTCTCCTATAGAGCAGCTGGTGGGCTCAAACCACCAACTTGTTGTTCACAGTCCAGTGCTTATCCTTCAGAGCCACTTTGCTCCCAAGAATGGTTCTGAATATGCAGACATATTTCCAAACATAATACTCCCTCCCAAATGACCATGAGCTATCTATTTGAAAAAAAATTCAAAGCCTCTAAGGACAACAGTGCTTCCCTTGTTATTATTAAATACCTTGGAGCCCATTCTGACTCACAGTGACCCTGCACATGGTTTCCGAGGCTGCAAATCTTTACAGGAGCAGAAAGCTTCATCTTTCTCCCGCGGAACTGCTGACTCTGAGATTAGCAGCGCGATTCATAATCACTATGCTACCAGAGCTCCTTGTGCTTTCCCTTAGAGAAACATTTAACAGGATATTAACAAAAAGGACCACAGTTTCTCCACGGCTTTCCCTTAGAGAAACATTTAACAGGATATTAACAAAAATGACCACGGCTTGGGTCAGTTAATGTATCTGTCTAATACAACCTGTGGTTTCCCTTCTAGATCCAATTCTTATCCTTTTATCCTTCCACCTCTGTGGAAGATTCTCTGTATGTCCACTTAACCCAGTGGCTGTGCTCTCACAGAATGATTTTAAACCCTTTTCTTTCCAGTTTATCATTCTCAGTATTTTCCTTCCTAAGAAACCAAAACATAACTTTTTTTAATTGGGAAAAGGTTTGATTTAGGAGATCTAATCAACACAACTATAATTACAATTACTTTTTAGCTCACAGAATGTGATATCAGATTTTTTTACAGAAAATATCAGTCTGCTGGGAACACAAATCGTTTTTCAGTCAATTGAATTCAGAAGTAGTTTCACTATTTATATAAATTTAGAAACTTGAACAACAACAAAAAAACTTTAAGTTGACTGCAAATAAGTTATTTCTGAGTCTAAAATTATCAAATGGAATGCTAAGCCCCATTTACTACAACAAAACTGACTTTAAAACTGATTTAAAAAAAAAAAAAAAAAAGCAGCCTAGCCACTAAACAATTTCAGTAATTAAGTAAGCTTAATGACTTTAATTTCATTCAAGCTCTTCATCAAACTGGAAGAAGAGAATTCAGCTGTTAGTCTTGGCAATGGTCATCCATTGGAAACATGACTCACATTTCAGTGATATTTCAAAACATCCTTTTGAGTATAAAATGTAGAGGTTTCCAACACTAGTGTCTAACCTGCTTATCATATATCATTTCCCACAAAGTATTAACTTGAAAAAACTGGTTTCACAATTTGAAAAGTCGATGTCTACACAAATGCTTACCCTGCTTTAAAAACAATGGTCCCAGAAAAGGTTACAAATTAAATCCCACTAGCTCTTCTCAATTGAAAACACTGTAAGCAAAAGGAAGTTTTAAGCTTTATTCCACAAATTCTCTTGAGTTATTTCTACATGGCATCCCTCATCATAAGCAATGACATTTCTTTCCTCACAACAGAACTACAAATGAGACAGAGAAAGAGCATTGGAACACCAGAATGTGGTTCTATGGCAACATTACTTACTGGTGCACTTTCTAGGAAGTTTCCTCATTTTACTTCTACTAGATATTTACTAAGTCATGCAATAACCATAAACTCTCTAGAGTGGTAGCATCTATAGCCATATGTTGTTGTTGTTAAGTGCCGTCGAGTCGGTTCCAACCCAAAGCGACCCTGTGTAGAGTTTCCCAGGAGCAGCTGTGGAGCTTGAACCGCCGACCTCGCAGTTCAAACGGCTTTGCAGTCTGGCGCATTAACCCACAGCGCCACACCAGGACTCCATACTTTCATACAAAGAACTTTTTGCAGATGTAAGATGGTTCTTCCAAAAGTCTTAAGTTGGAAAGAGCACATCCTTGAATATGCTGTTTCATTATTTTCCTACATCCAAACAGAGACTTTTGGAGTGATCACTTCTCTCTGACCAACAAGTTATCTTTATATTTCAGTTTGTAAGCGGAAGTGAGATTTGTGTAAAAGACTTGGTAGATCAGATGACAAGTAGCAATGCAGTCAATGAACTATGCCAAGTGTTGTAAGGCTTGCATGACACCTTTCTTCAAATGTTTTTAGTTACATGAGGAATACTACAGATAATGAGAAAGTGCACTTTCAAAGTAAGTCTGTGTACCATCGTGTATACTTATTCATGTTTGGTATATTTACACACATGCAGAGACCTCAGAAAGTTCGTGGAAAAAATGGAATTGAAAAAGAATAGAATTTTTCCATGAACTTTTTGAACTATATATAGATACACAGATTGAGATATTTAGATATAGATATATATTTCAAAGACACACCATATCCCTTCTACATTCTTCTATGGGATGTAGTACTTTTCTCGCAATAATAATTAAAATGTAGGTAACGTTTGAGCAGCAATAACTCCCACATAGCTAGAAGTCAAAATTTTTCTCAGGGAACAAAAGAAATCGTCCAAAGTGCAACACACGCCTCAAATTAAAAAAAAAAAAAAAAGAATCTTTAGAAGATGAGACATGAAACCTCTCCTACTCACTGAAACAGCATCACTAAAATCGGGGTGGGGGTTATAGTGTAGGAGAGATGCTAGTGAAGCGGTGGGAAGGCAGAAGAGAAGCAATCAAATCCACGCCGCTGCCTTTCCCTTATCTCTTACTGCCCTCCCACCTGGATCATGGTCTCCAAAAAAAAAGCAAAAACAAACCCTAAAACCTGAAAAAGTGTGACCAGGGTTACTTTCAAGGTAACCACAAATGGCACCCGTACAAAAGCAAAGCAGTGAGGATATAGTAGCAGCAACAGCAGCACACCTCCCTCTCCCCGCCCCAGATACTGTACCTCCAAATCTGCCCGAGTTGCAAGATGTGGATGAGTGACTGCAGGAGCCAAATGCAGAAGGAACAGGACGCAGACCTATGTGTTCCGCCGGCCCGCGTGGCCCCGCTGCTGCTGTTACCACTGTTGGTGGCCGTGATGTTGCTCTTGCTGGCATTGGATGCTTGCCTTTGCGGCGTGGAAGGACGAGCCTCGCCTTCCCCAGCTGCAGACCCACCGCTGACCACAGGCTTGCACTCGGCTCCAGGTTGCGGACAGCTGGCGGCCGTGGCCGTGGCGCTGTCCTCGGCGCTGAAATCGTGCACGAACCAGCGGAAGCTGAACACCTGCACCGAAAGCGAGCCGAGCACCACGAAGAAAAGCGTGAGCCCGAACCACCAGCGCTGGCCGCGCACGTAGTAGTCCACAGCGAGCCAGATGTCCGTGCCCACATCCGCGAAGTAAACGGCCACGGCGGCCAAGATCCAAAGGCAGTCCCACAACGAATAGCGCCGCTGCTCGCGGCCCAGGCGCAGGCACAATGCCGCGGAGCCCGACCCGCGGCCGCCAGCACCGCTCGGGCCCCCAGAGCCACCGCCCGAGCCGCCACTGCCGGCGCAGCAGCAGCAACAGCGCGAGCTGCCACCGCCGTCAGGGCAACAGCCGCCGGCGGCCGCCTCCTCGTCCTCGGCTCCAGCGCCCGACGGCACGCCCGGGGCCAGCGCCGACACGGAGCCCGAATGCTCCGAGTTCTGCAGCGGGGTGAACGCCACGTCGCTGCCCTTCTTCATTTTCAGCCTCCCGTCTGATTTAGCGGCCATGATGCCTCTGAGCCCAAGGAAAGCCCTCCTTTATCTGACACCTTTTCCGCTGTCTCCTCCTCCCGCCACCTCCTCCTTGACAGCCGGCTCCCCCCTCGCCGCGAGGCTCCCGCCTCCTGGGATGCGCTCAGCTCGCCTGCCGCGGCCGCCGCCGCCCGCCGGGTGGAGCCGGGCGCGG